GCCCAAGACCGACCTCATGGCCTTCAGCCCCAGCCTACCTCAAGGTCCTGGCTCTGCAGACATCGTGAGTCTCAAAAATATTATTCACAAAAATTTTCGTTAAGTCTTTAATATTTAATATTTCCTTCCAACATCTTTTTATTTTAAATTATGGTTTTATATTTGATTATTGTCTCATCATTTAGATGTAAATTCTGAATTGGTATTAATTCATTTACTTAAAATTGGTTATGGTTAGAATTCATTTTAGTTTGTTGCATATAATCGCTTTGCACTAATGGATTTATTTCAGTAACATACCTCCCCTTTTTCAGGTTTTAAAAGTTGGAGTTAATGGACTAGTGTTCTTTGCACAATAGAAAGTGTTTCCAAAATTAAATTTTTAATAAATATTTTAATTTTCAATCTTTAGGAAATGTAGGAAGATACTTGTATGACATATTTGGTGGAGTTATTTATTTTCAAAGTCTCCTATTACGACAGTGAATTTTTTTTTTACAGTGAAGTGTTTCTTTTAAAATTATTTATTTTTTAATGTTTATTTTATTTTTTGAGAGAGATAGAGCATGAGTGGAGGGGGAGGCAGAGAGAGAGGGAGACACAGAATCCGAAGCAGGCTCCAGGCTCTGAACTGTCTGAACAGAGCCTGACTTGGGGCTCAAACTGGCGACTGTGAGATCGAGACCTGAGCCGAAGTTGGATGCTTAACTGACTGAGCCAGGCATCCCTTAACTTCCTTTTTAAGTAATATTTGTATACTGAATGATTCTTTTCAGGTTTCTCTAAATGGTTGGCTTTCACATACTTATGATGAATTTGATATTTATGATTAATTTTTTAACTTTAGAGGCTTCATTTATTTTTGAATATGAAATATACTTATATGGTTTACAGTGGTTTAAAATGTTTCCCTTCCAACTTCTGTATCAAGTCACTCGGTATACCTCCTTGAATATTTCTAAATTAAAAAAATTTTAATTGTTTTATTTTAGAGAGAGAGCACAAAAGCGGGGGAGAGGGAGAGTGAGAATCTTTAGCAGGCTCCACGCTCAGCACAGAGCCTGACATGGGGCTCAATCCCAGGACCCTGGGATCGCGACCTGAACTGACATCAAGAGTGGGACACTTAGTTGACTGAGCCAACCAGGCACCCCTTAACTTTAATTAGCTAATTCAATTTTTTAATGTTTATTTTTGAGAGAGAGACAGAGCATAAGCAGGGGAGGAGCAGAGAGAGAGGGAGACACACAATCCAAAGTAGGTTCAAGTCTCTGAGTTTGTCAGCACAGAGCTTGATGTGGGGTCTGAACCCGCGAACTCTGAGATCATGACCTGAGCCTAAGCCAGACACTTAACCAACTGATCCACCCAGGCGCCCCTAATTAGCTAGTTTTAAAGTTGATATTCAGAGGGACTCTTGACTTACAGCAAAATTTATGAAAAATCTTAACTGCTCTAGAAAACCTTCAACAATAAGACTGAAAGCTAATATATCTTTTCTCAAGGCTAATTGCCTGCAAGCAAAGGAAAATTTCATTTGGATGTTATTATTCGTTAGCATATGAACTCTTTGTGTACCCACACTAAAAGCAATAGAAATTCAGCAATAGGGAGTATTAGATAGATCTAGATTAATTAGTTTAAGATGATGCTTCTCATCTTGGTATTACAGTACTCTGTGAGGATTTTGCAAGTATATGAGAATTTTGGAGCATGGGTGGTGGTATGTGTCCATTTGACAAATCCTTTTGTGACTCTCATTTTCTCATTTTGAGGAAGAGTTTAATCATCTCCAGCTGATAACATTACGGATGAATTCATGGTAAAATTTACATTTGGGCTTGACTTTGATATCAGGATAACATTTTTATAGGTAAAGAGAGAGGTAATTTTAGAAACACTTTGAACAAAGGTTGCACTGACGAAGAAGACAAGGAGGTGATCTATTTCGTCTGCAAAATAGAATTCACATTGGAGAGTAGTCAAAAATAAAACTGGGAATGTTGGTTTTGATCCCATCTCAGGTCGTGTAGAAGTTATTCTAATGTCATGGAATTTCTACCTTTAACTGTACTCATGAAAATAAATATGGTAGTATGTGAAAGAAAAGACAGATGGACTGTTGACAAACTTTAAATAGGGCAAGTAAGGGATGAGGACTGATAAAAAATTCATACAGGTGACATGTACAATGTTCACTGCATTAAATCAAAATGAGAATTTCAAGGGTTTGAATTTGGGGGTTGTTAATGATGTCTCTTCATAATCTTCAAAGTGTAATCAAATTATTTTCTGAGAGTCATCACCATGCATAGGTAAAAATGTCAATGAGAACCATAGAAAGAGGGAAGGAAGATGTGGGTTTGGGAATAACTTCAATAAAAGTCTTATTTGAGGGGCGCCTGGGTGGCGCAGTCGGTTAGGCGTCCGACTTCAGCCAGGTCACGATCTCGCGGTCCGTGAGTTCGGGCCCCGCGTCGGGCTCTGGGCTGATGGCTCAGAGCCTGGAGCCTGTTTCCGATTCTGTGTCTCCCTCTCTCTCTGCCCCTCCCCCGTTCATGCTCTGTCTCTCTCTGTCCCAAAAAAAATAAATAAACGTTGAAAAAAAATTAAAAAAAAAAGTCTTATTTGAAACATTAGAAATGGATGAGGACACTTAAAGGAAAGCATATACAAAGTTAAGATTGAGAGAAAAGGATGAACTCATTTAGGAGTAGCTAAAGGATCAGAGAAGCAAAGAACTATGGGTAGATATTCCACTAGAATTTGCAAGAAACAAGTATGTTAAGGAAAATTTTTTGAAGGGGAGGCCTAATATAAACTGCAGGGAAATTTAGAAATGGAAACAATATGCACTAAAATTTTCATCTTCCATCATTAAATTTTTTTAATGTTTATTTATTTTTGAGAGAGAGAGAGAGAGAGAGAGCACGAGCAGGGGAGGAGCAGAGAGAGAGGGAGACAGAATCAGAAGCAGGCTCCAGGCTCTGAGCTGTCAGCACAGAGCCCAATGTGGGGCTCAAACTCAGGAACTGGAAGATCATGACCTGAGCTGAAGTCTGATGCTTAACCCAGTGAGCCACCCAGGCGCCCCCATCTTCCATTATTAAGTAAAAGAAACAGTCTTAGGAGTATTTGATATTCACTGAAAAAAGAAATAATGGACTGCAATCTATAAGATTTTTTAAATGTGGATAAAATTTGTTAATTTAAAATTACATTCTTTTCCCATAGCAAAATATAATAACATATCCTGTAACAGAAGAATATGCACAAGTTTCTTCTCTACATAAAGAGATTAGGATAGTTTGCACTTCTAATTCCCAGGCTTACTTCAGATCACAAATTTTCTAACCTGGTTGATAACAGTAATTAAATTATTGGGAGAAAGTTGTTTCTCTATGAATTATCTGATCCCTTACCCTAGTCTAAATTCATAAAAGAAGTCAGACGAGATGAAAATGGCTCTGAAAATTACAAACATAAGGAGATTTACTATTAAATTAAGGCAAAATAAGATTTTTTTTAAATTTAAAGGACTATAGTGTAGCGAAATTATGTGAATTCATTTCTTACCCTTTGTAGTCGCATGATGTCGCTGTCTACCATGAAGTTAATCTAGTTGTTACAGTATTCAAAATTCATTCCTTCTGTTACTGCTTGGTTCCACAAGCGCTGAGGGATGGCAGGCGCAGAATTGGATTAACAGAGTCGGATCACACAATATTTCATCTTAATGACGAGGCAAGATCTTCTGATGGAAATAAAACAAGTATTTGACATGGTTCTTACCCTGGAAGGCCCACTGGGATCTCGGTGTCTGCTGCTCTCGCTTCTGCTGCTCGTAGCCTGGGAGGAGGGCAGCTGCCAGGTTCAGTACTCGGTCCCGGAGGAGGCTAAACATGGCACCTTCGTGGGCCGCATCGCCCAGGACCTGGGACTGGAGCTGGCGGAGCTGGTGCCGCGCCTTTTCCGAGTGGAGTCCAAAGGCCGCGGGGATCTTCTCGAGGTAAATCTGCAGAATGGCATTTTGTTTGTGAATTCTCGGATCGACCGCGAGGAACTGTGTGGGCGAAACGCGGAGTGCAGCATCCACCTGGAGGTGATCGTGGACAGGCCGCTGCAGGTTTTCCATGTGGAAGTGGTGGTGAAGGACATTAATGACAACCCGCCTGTGTTTCGTTTAAAGGAACAAAGAGTGCTGATTTACGAATCAAGGCTGCCAGATTCTCTGTTTCCACTAGAGGGCGCGTCAGATGCGGATGTTGGCTCAAATTCTCTTTTAACCTATAGACTCAGTTCCAGCGAATACTTCTCCCTAGATGTGAAAACCAATAGTGATGACAATACACAAATTGGGCTCGTGTTAAAGAAATCCTTGGACAGAGAGGAAGCTCCCGAACATAACTTATTTCTGACAGCCACTGACGGAGGCAAACCTGAACTCACAGGCACTGTTCAGCTGCTGGTCACTGTGCTGGACGTGAATGACAATGCTCCCGATTTCGAACAGACTGAATATGAAGTAAGAATATTCGAAAACTCGGGTAACGGAACAATAGTAATCAGACTTAATGCTTCTGATCGGGATGAAGGAGTGAATGGGGAGATTTCATACTCTTTTAATAGTCTCGTTCCAACCATGGTTAGCGACCAGTTTAAAATAGATCCAAATACTGGAGAAATAGTAATTAGAGGGAATTTAGATTTTGAAAAAGTAAATTTATACAAAATTCGTATTGACGCGACGGACAAAGGCCACCCACCCATGGCTGGCCATTGCACCGTTTTATTGAAGGTTTTGGATGAAAATGATAATGTCCCTCAGATTGCATTGACTTCTTTATCCTTACCTGTCCGAGAGGACGCTCAATTAGGTACTGTGATTGCCCTCATTAGCGTGTCAGATCTCGACTCTGGTGCCAACGGCCAGGTGACCTGCTTTCTGACGCCCCATGTCCCCTTCAAGCTGGTGTCCACCTTCAAGAATTGTTTGTCTTCGGTGCTGACAGCTTGACCGCGCAGAGCGCGGTCGGATCGGCGTTTCCAGTAGTGACAGGCATGTGGGATTCGCTCGCCGCTGTCGGCTACTGCCAGCGTCTCAGTACGACGTGAACCATTGTAACGCCTGAAGATCGCGCTTTATAATACACGGGTGTCTTCAGGATGAGAACAACCCTCCTCGGCTGCCGACAATATCTTCACGGTAACCGCTGGCTGGACGCCGAACGTGCTGCTATAGAGAACGCTATTATGCGTCCCACCGGGCTGCGGGGATATGGTGGCGAGCGTGCTCGTCGACATGCGCAGCACGCCGCAGAGTTTGCGGCGTACTGCTGCAGCCGCTGACCATCGCAGGAGCTGGAGCTGCTGCAGTTCCGGGGCGAGCGCCATAAAGGACGCGGTTCTCGCTGGCAGCAACGACGCTGCAGGTGTTCGCGTTGACGAGAACGATTGGTTCCATACCGCCGCTGCCGTGTCGCCGCCTGGGGCGTGCGGCGCGGCGGCGCGGTGAGCGAAAAGCCGGCGGTCAGGGCGCGGCCACGGTGGCTGGTGCGCGCGGTGGACGCCGACTCGGGCTACAACGCCAGTGGCTTGTCGTGACGACGAAGCTGCAGTCATGGGCGGTGAGCGCTACAAGAGGCCCGTTCTCAAGGCGGGCGCTGTAATATCGGCGAGATCGAAGCACGACGCTACAGCCTGACGAGGCGGATTCCGCCAAGTGCCAGCGCCTGCTGGTGTTGAGGGACCACGGGCGAGTCGGCGCTGACGGCCACCGCCACCGCGGTTGCTGTCGCTGGTGGAGAGCCGCCGCCTGGCCTCGGCTGCGGGTGGTGCTGGAGGGAAGCCTGGCGCGAGACGGGCGCTGGTGGATGTCAACGCGGTAATTGATCATCGCCATCTGCTGCTGGTAAGTCCAGCTCATGGTGCTCACGCTGTTGCTGTGTCGCGGGCGCTGGTGGTAGGTCGGCGTCACCAGCGAAAGGGCGCGGCGGTCGGGGAAGCCCACGCCGGTGTGCCGTGGGTGGAAAGCCAATATCGTACTCGCAGCAGAGGCGGCAGAGGGTGTGCTCTGGGGAGGGTCCGCCCAAGACCGACCTCATGGCTTTCAGCCCTGGCCATCCACCCTGTCCATTAGTGGGTGATACGAGCCAACATCAGGATTTAAATGATGATCATGGTGCCAAGGTAAGTCTGAATTTTCATAATTAACATTTAATATATACTTGAAATGTTAAATTGTTTCCCAAGAATTTTTTATGTTTTCCTATTTTTAAAAATTGGAATACATTTACTTAAAATACATCTGTTCATTTTTTGGTTAACTATTGTAATCTATGTGGTTTGTTATTGGTCTTAATTTAAACTGGAACCAGACTTTCTATTTGTGGTGTTTCCTTTAATTGTGATAAATATTTTTTTCTAATTAATTCTGTAGAATTTTTCATTTCTTTGTGTTTGATCCAAATAGTGTAGAAAGAGAAATTCAAGGTAATTTGCACTTTGAGCAAGTAAATTCATATAAAATATGCATTCCTCAGGCACTGCAAATCTCTTGAAAAAGTAAATTTTGAAAAATCTCTTATTTTGAATTTTATTTGGTGAGTTGTTTTTCAAGGAGAGCTATTTCTTTAAAAAATTTTTTAATTTGAATTCCAGTTAGTTAACATACAGAGTTACATTAGTTTCAGGTGTACAACTTAGTGATTCAATATTTTCATACAATACCGGATGCTCATCACAAGTGCACTCCTTAATCCCTATCATCTATTTAACCCTATGGTAAACATCAGTTTGCTCTCCATAGTTATGGATCTGTTTCTTGATTTGCTTCTTTCTTTTTTCCCCTTTTCCCTTTGTTTTGTTTCTTAAATTGCACATATGAATGAAATCATATCGTATTGGTCTTTCTCTGACTTATTTTTCTTAGCATAATACTCTAGCTCCATCCACCTTGTTGCAAATGGCAAGATTTCATTCTTTTTACGGCTGAGTAATATTCCATCGTGAATCTATGTACCATATTTTCTTTATCCATTCATCAGTTGAAGGACACTTGGGCTGTTTCCATACTTTGCCTATTGTAGATAATGCTGCTGTAAACATCAGTGTGCATGTATCCCTTTGAATTATTATTTTTGTATTCTTTGGTAAATACCTAGTAGTGCAATTGCTGGGTAATAGGGTAGTTCTATTTTGAACTTTTGGAGGAATCTCCATACTGTTTTCCAGAGTGGCTGCACCAGTTTGCATTCTCACCAGCAGTGTAGGAGGGTTCCCCTTTCTTCACATCCTTGTCAACACCCGTGGTTTCTTGTGTTTTTGATTGTAGCCATTCTGACATGTATGCCATGATATCTCATTATAGTTTTGGTTTGTATTTCCCTGACTGTGAGTGATATTGAGCATCTTTTCTTTTGTCTTTGGGCCATATGGATGTCTATTTTGGAAAAATGTCTATTCATGTCTTCTGCCCATTTTAAATCAGATTATTCATTTTGGGGTGTTGAGTTTTTTTTTTTTTAATTTTTTTTTCAACGTTTTTTATTTATTTTTGGGACAGAGAGAGACAGAGCATGAACGGCGGAGGGGCAGAGAGAGAGGGAGACACAGAATCGGAAACAGGCTCCAGGCTCCGAGCCATCAGCCCAGAGCCTGACGCGGGGCTCGAACTCACGGACCATGAGATCGTGACCTGGCTGAAGTCGGACGCTTAACCGACTGCGCCACCCAGGCGCCCCTTGGGGTGTTGAGTTTTATAAGTACTTCCTATATTTGGATATCAACCCTTTATTAGATATGTCATTTGCAAATATCTTCCCCATTCTGCAGGTTGCCTTTTACTTTTGTTGACTGATTCCTTCACTTAGCAGAAGTTTTTATTTTGATGAAGTTCCAATGGTTTATTTTTGCTTTTGTTTCCCTTGCCTCAGTTGACATATCTAGAAAGAACTTGCTATTGGTCATGTCAAAAAGTTACTACTTGCGTTCTCCTCTAGGATTTTCACGGTTTCAGGTCTATCCTTTAGGTCTTTAATCTACTTTGAATTTATTTTTGTGTATTATTTTGTGTAAGAACGTGGTCCAATTTGTTCTTTTGCATGTTATCATCCGGTTTTCCCAACACCATTTGTTGAAGAGACTGTCTTTTTTCCCTTGGATATTATTTTCTTCTTTGTCAAAGATTAATTGACCATTTAGTTGTGGGTTCATTTCTGGGTTTTCTATTCTGTTCTGTTGATCTCTGTGTCTATTTTTGTACCAATACCATACTGTCTTGATCACTACAGCTTTGGAATATAACTTGAAGTCCAGAGATGTGATGCCTCCAGCTTTGGTTTTATTTTTCAAGGTTGCTTTGGCTCTTCAGGGTCTTTTGTGACCTAAAATGTAAATTTTTGGATTATTTGTTCCTGCTCTATGAAAAATGCTGCTGATATTTTGTTAGGGATTGCATTATATGTGTAGATTGCACTGGGTAGTTTTGACATTTTAACAATATTTGTTCTTTGAATCCATGAGCAGGGAATGTCTTTCCATTTCTTTGTGTCATCGTCAATTTCTTTCACAAGTGTTTTATAGTTTTCACAGTACAGGTATTTTACCCCTTTGGTTAGGTTTATTCCTAGGCATCTTATTGGTTTTGATGTAAGTGTGAATGAGATTGATTCCTTAATTTCTCTTTCTGCTATTTCATTATTGGTGTATAGAAATGCAACAGATTTCTGCACGTTAATTTTGTGTCTTGCGACCTTACTGAATTTGTGTATCATTTCTAACAGTTTTTTGGTGGAGTCTTTCAGGTTTCCTACATAGAGTATCATGTCATCTGCAAATAGTCAAAGTTTGACTTCTTCCTTGCTGATTTGGATGCCTTTTATTTCTTTTTGTTGTCTGACTGCTGTGGCTGGGACTTCCAGTAACTATGTTAAATAACAGTAGTGAGAGTGAACATCCTTATCTTTTTCATGACTGTAGAGGAAAAGCTCTCAGTTTTTCCTCACTGAGAATATTAGCTGTGGGTTTTTAACATATGGCCTTTATTATGTTGAGGTATGTTCCCTCTAAACCTACTTTGTTGAGAGTTTTTATCATGAATGGATTTTGTGCTTTGTCAAATGCTTTTTCTGCATCTACTGAAAGGATCATATGGTTCTTATTCTTTGTTTTTGGGGTGTATTACATTGATTGATTTATAAATAAATTAAAGTAATATTCTTTATTAATGGGGTATATTACATTGATTGATTTGTAAATATTGAACCACCTTGCAACCTAGGAATAAATCCCACTTGATCATGGTGAATGATTTTTTTTTTAATGTATTGTTGGATTCAGCCTCATAGAATAAGTTTGGAAGTTTTCTTTACCTTTCCGTTTTTTCAAATAGTTTGAGAAGAATAGGTATTAACTCTTCTTTTTTTTTAACTTTTGTATTCCCATCTGTTTTTTTTTAATATTTATTTATTTTTGAAAGAGAGAGAGACACACACACACAGTGTGAGTAGGGGAGGGGCAGAGAGAGAGGGAGACAGAATCTGAAGAAGATTCCAGGCTCGAAGCTGTCAGCATAGAGCCCAGTGTGGAACTTGAACTCATGAATTGTGAGATCATGACCTGAGCTGAAGTTGGACACTTAACTCACTGAGCCACCCACTCACCCCTATTAACTCTTCTTTAAATGTTTGGTAGAATTTGCCTTGAAGCCATCTGGCCCTGGACTTTTGTTTCTTGGGAGTTTTTTGATTACTGATTCCATTTCTTTGCCATTTCAGAAATAGGTCTGTTCAAGTTTTCTGTTTCTTCCTATTTCAGTTTTGGTAATTATATGTTTCTAGGAATTTATCCATCTCTTTCAGGTTGTCCAATTTATTGGCATATAGTTTTTCATAACATTCTCTTATAATTGTTTGTATTTATGTGGTGTTGGTTGTTATTTCTCCTCTCTCTTTGTGATTTTTAAAAGTTTGGGTCTTTTCTCTTTTCTTTCTGATAAGTCTGCCTAGACGTTTATGAATTTTATTAATGTTTTCAAAGAACCAGCTTCTGGTTTCATTGATCTGTTCTATTGTTTTTCTCTTTTTTTAAGTTTGTATATCATTTATTTCTGCTCTAATCTCTCTATTTCCCTCCATCAGTTGGCTTTAGGCTTCATTTATTGTTCTTCCTCTAGCTCCTTTAGGTGTAAGTTCAGGTTGTTTATTTGAGATTTTTTCTTGCTTCTTAAGGTAACCCTGTATTGCTATATACTTTTTTTCTTAGGACAGCTTTTGCTGCATCGCCAAGGTTTTGGACCATCATTTGTTTCTATGTATTTTTAAAAATCTCTTCTTTGATTCCCTGGTTGACCCATTCAATGTGTATCATCATGATGTTTAACCTCCCTGTATTTGTGGTCTTTCCAGATTTTTCTTGTGGTTGACTTCTAGTTTCATAGTGTTCTGGTTAGAAAAGGTGCATGGTGTGATTTCAGTCTTTTTATATTTGTTGAGGCTTGATTTGTGACCTAATAAGTGATCTATTCTGGAGAATGTTCCATGTGCACTCCAGAAGAATGTGAATTCTACTGCTTTAGGATGGAATGTTCTGAATATAACTGTTAAGTCCATCTGGTCCATTGTGTCATTTAAAGCCATTGTTTCCTTGTTTATTTTCTGTTTAAATGATCTGTCCATTGATATAAGTGGGGTGGTAAAGTCCCCTACTGTTATTGCATTATTATCAATTAGTTCCCTTATATTTGTTATTAGTTGTTTTACATATTTGGGTGCTTTCACGTTGGGTGCATAAATATTTACAATTGTTAGATCTTCTTGGATTGTCTCCTTCATTATGATATAGTACCCTCCTTTAAGGTAAGTGTACTCTTAATCCCCTTTACCTATTTCACCCTTCTTCCCACCCACCTCCGCTCTGGTAACCATCTTCTCTTAGTTAAGAGTCTGTTTTTTTGTTTGTTTGTTTGTCTCATTTTCCCCCTTTATTCATTTGTTTTGTTTCTTAAATTCCACATATGAATGAAATCATATGGTATTTGTATTTCTCTGACTGATTTATTTTACTTAGCATTATACTCTCTAGATCTATCCATATATTTGCAAATGGCAGGATTTCATTCTTTTTATGGCTAAATAATATTCCATTGTATATATATACCATCTCTTCTTTAGCCACTCATCTATCAATGGAAATGGGCTGCTTCCATAATTTGGCTGTTGTAAATAATGCTGCAGTAAACAGGGGTGCATATATCCCTTCAACTTGGTGTTTTCATATTCTTTGGGTAGATACTCAGTAGCGTAATAAATGGACCATATGATAATTCTATTTTTAAATTTTTGATGAACTTCCATATTGTCTTCGATAGTGTCCACACCAGTTTGCATCCCTCCCAAAAGTGCATGAGGGTTCCATTTTCTCCATATCATCACCAATACTTGTTGCTTTTTTTTTTTTTTAATTTTAGCCATTCTGATAGGTATGAGGTGATACCTCATTATGGTTTTGACTAGCGTTTCCCTGCTGTTGAGTGAATTTTGGACATCTTTTCATGTGTCTTTTGGCCATCTGTATGTTTTCTTTGGAGAAATGTCTATTCACATTTTCTGCCCATTTTTAATTGGATTATTTGGTTTTTGGGTGTTGAGTTGTATAAGTTCTTTATACATTTTGGATACTAACCCTTCAGATATGTCATCTGGAAATATCTTCTCCCATTCAGTTGGTTGTCTTTTAGTTTTGTTGCCTGTTTCCTTTGCTGTGCAAAAGTTTTTTATTTTAATGAGATCCGAATAGTTTATTTTTGCTTTTATTTACCTTGCCTCAGGTGACACATCTAGAAGATGTTATGGCCAATGTCAGAGAAATTACTGCAAGTGCTCATTTCTATGATTTTTATGATTTCAGCTCTCACATTTAGGTCCTTAATCCATTTTGAGTTTATTTTTGTATATGGTGTAAGAAAGTGGTCCATTTTCATTCTTTTGCATGAGCTGTCTGTTTTTCCAACATCATTTGTTGAAGAGACTATTTTTTTCCATTGCATATTCTTGCTTCTAAGTGTTGTGAGTTTCAGAATTTTAGTGAACATTTATATTTCTTGCTTATTTAAAAGAAAGGTATGTGTAAGTCAAAGAAAGGAGGGTCACCAGGATGATGTGAGCTTTGGAAGCTGTATTATCTGAGTAACTGATTATGTTACCCATGACTGTAACTTTTTTGTAATGTAGTTTGATTTTTTTAACTCTAAATTAGACTCTGATTTGTATGGTCACATAAATTCACCCCTCTAGCTCACACCTAGTTGGACTAATATGTAATGTCCACAGCAGACTTTCAAGAACCATTTATAGTACTTAACTTTAAAGAAATGAGGGCGCTTTAAAAATGTGAACCAGTAGGCTTAGCTAAATTATATTCATAGTTGCTGTTTATAGAATTGTTATTAGTATACCTTTTGAGTTTATAGTCAACATATCATCCTGAAATATTCTTTAACTTATAACTAGCTCCCCTATTCTCCATTTTAAAAGGAAATCTAAGTTAAGACTACGATTTCCAACCTACCAGTCTTAAACATTTTTTATAAACCTATGCCACTGTAAGTTATATGACTAAATGCTATTAAAGACAATTAATTATGAGAAATGTGGTTTTAAAATTTGTACCTGCTCTTATTTAGTGTTACTACATAAATGGTATGCCTCTGTGGTTTTATTGTCCATTTTTGTGCTAATTAAAACCATGCAGATTGGAAAAATCTCAGGCAGATAAAAATTGGAAAGCAATACAGGTGTAATAATTATTCTACTTGCAGTTGGGAACATGGGAATAAAATACTCATGAGAATTTGCTCTGTTAAGTAAAACTGAAAATGATAAAACACCCCAAGCTTGATTGATGGATTGCTCTAAGTATGCCAGATGAACACTAACATTATGTGATGAAATAAATTTATGTTATGAAATAATCTCAATTAAATTGGAGACTGTAAAAACAGGTGGACATTCATAAAATCTGGGACTTAGAAAGAATGGAAAGAATAAAGAGATAAGAACCATGAACTTTTGGAATGGAGTATATAAATTCTGATGAAAAGAAAAATTCAAGATACTTTCTCCATGCAAAATTCACTTAATACAAATGATTTCTCTTCAAAGACCCCACTAACCCTCTATTATTGTGTTTTCTCAAGAAAAGTATATGAATTAGTTGCTTATATTCCTTGCTTCCTACAAACAAGTACCTCTTCTAAGTTTTTCTTCCATTCGTAAATACTTGAGATCTTGGGTCCCTAGAGATACCAAGAATTTTCTTAACAGAAATCTAAGAAATGAAGTTGTCTGAACTTTATATAAACAAAAGATTTTAAAATTTACTGCTCCTGACATGATTCATTTTATTTTTATTTTAAAACTGGGAAAACGTATTTTCAAGGCATAAGGAGACCACAGTTATGGTCACACTAAATATTCAGAAGTTAAGTCTCTTAATGCTTTCAGCAAACATGAGAAGTGTTGTTCTACGCTTTAAGAAAACTGAAGGAAAAAAATCAGAGGTTAAAATAAAATTCAACATTTATTAATAAAATTGATAATTATAGTTCGTACTTACTATTTGACCACATGATGTCGCTCTTTACCGCGAAATTCTCTCATTCAAGCCAAAACGAAGTCCTCCGTTTTCATATTAGAAAGATTCTCCACTGTGTTTTTCTATGCGGATGTTGAACAATGGAGAGCACATCAGGATAGTAACGAAGAGAGAAGATTCCTCCAAATTTTGAGATAAGTTACGCCGATTTGAATAATTTTAAAATCCCAATTAATTTGAAATGGTGTACTCGAATCGAGGCGACTGGGGGCACCAGCATCTACTGCTGTTTTTTATAATCCTCACAGCCTGGGAAAGCGGAAGCGGCCAGGTCCACTACTCAGTCCCGGAGGAGGCCAAACACGGCACCTTCGTGGGCCGCATCGCGCAGGACTTGGGGCTGGAGCTGGCGGAGCTGGTGCCGCGCCTTTTCCGAGTGGCTTCCAAAGGCCACGGGGACCTTCTGGAGGTAAACCTGCAGAATGGTATTTTGTTTGTGAATTCTCGGATCGACCGCGAGGAGCTGTGTGGGCGGAGCGCGGAATGCAGCATCCATCTGGAGGTGATCGTGGACAGGCCGCTGCAGGTTTTCCATGTGGAAGTGGAGGTGAAGGACATTAACGACAACCCGCCCGTATTCCCAGAGACAAAAAAGAATCTGTTTATAGCCGAATCCAGGATGCTTGACTCTAGGTTTCCACTAGAGGACGCTTCCGATGCAGATATCGAGGAGAACGCTCTGTTGACTTACAGACTGAGCCCCAACGAGTTTTTCTCTCTGGACGTACCAACCAATGGCGAACAGGAAAAACCTCTTGGTCTTGTATTACGGAAATCTTTAGACAGGGAAGAATCTCCGGAACTTCATTTATTGCTCACAGCCACTGATAGAGGCAAACCTGAGCTGACTGGCACTGTTCAGTTACTCATCAAAGTGCTGGATGCCAATGACAACGCACCAGTTTTCGACAGAACACTCTATGCGGTGAAATTACCAGAAAATGTTCCCAATGGAACATTAGTAATTAAACTCAATGCCTCAGATTTGGATGACGGCATGAATGGGTATATTATTTACTCATTCTCTAGTGACGTTTCCCCAGATATAAAATCTAAATTCTACATGGATGCCATAAATGGAGAAATTATAGCAATAGGACATATCGATTTTGAAGAATGTAAAACCTACAAAATTCGAGTAGAAGCGATCGATAAAGGCTATCTACCACTAGCTGGTCACTGTACAGTTCTTGTGCAAGTTTTGGACGCTAATGATAATGCTCCAGAGTTGACTGTTACTTCTCTGTCTCTCCCTATCTCAGAGAATGCTCAGCGGGGCACAGTCATCACCTTGATCAGTGTGTCTGACCGAGATTCTGGAGCTAATGGCCAGGTGACCTGCACACTGTCGCCCCATGTCCCCTTCAAGCTGGTGTCCACCTTCAAGAATTACTATTCGCTGGTGCTGGACAGCGCCCTGGACCGCGAGAGCGTGTCGGACTATGCTCTAGTAGTGACAGCACGGGACGGGGGCTCGCCTTCGCTGTCGGCCACGGCCAG